ACACATTCTCACTCCCAACTCGCCACATATTGACACTTTTCCAAGGCTCCCTCTGCGTCTTGACAAGTCAGGTAACCCCTTTGCATCACTTATTGACACAACAGGCATTTCCAGGTTCCCTCGGCGTCCGGTTTTGATGTGTCGGGATGCAAAATATCGGGGTCTTTGAGTTGGGGTCCGTGGTTAATATTAGGGATTAGGGTTCATGGGGTCAGGGACAGGATATCTAGAGTGAACAAAGATAATTTCAGACTTTGGGACGGTTAGATTTTGGGCATTTTCTACACTTTCTGAAATTATGACAACAGATGAGCTGTGGCAGACTGGTTAGGGGAGTCATCCTGGAACCGGAAGGTCGCCGGTTCGATCCCCCGTCCAGCTGCCTCAGTTGTTGTGTCCTTGGGCAAGACACTTCACTCCTAATGCCTCTGATGTGTCCCATCAGTGTATGAATGTGATCGACACTGATTAGTCTCCACAGATGATTGTATATGTTAGAGACCTAATAGAGTGCTGTGTGAATGGGTAAATGAGGACACAGATTGTAGTGTGAAGCGCTTTGAGTGTCCTGGTTGGGTAGAAAAGTGCTTAAGTACAGTCCATTTACCATTTACCAGATTCCGACCCATCTCGTCAATAAATGACGCTAGTCGGGGTACCCGACGCGTCAAAACTGGACGCAGAGGGAACCTTGGAAAAGCACCGCCAATATGGTTATGTTGGCAGTGGGAATGGGCTGTCCATCCATCCATCCATCCATCCATCCATCCATCCATCCATCCATCCATCCATTATCTCTACCTGCTTATTCCTTTCAGGGTCACTGGTGCCCATATCCAGCAGTCACAGTGTGAGGGGCGGGGTACACCCTGGACAGGTCACAAGTCCATCGTAGGGACACATAGAGACAAACAACCATTCACTCTCTCACTCACCTAGGGACAATTTAGAGTTATCAATTAACCCAACAGTAATGTTTTTGGTCTGTGAGAGGAAGCCGGAGTACCCGGAGAGAACCTACGCAGAGAGAACATGCAAACTCTACCCAGAAAGGTCCCCGGTGTGGGATTTGAACCGGCGACCTTCTTGCTGAGAGGCATCAGCTCTACCAACTGAAGCACCCAAATAAATTTATCTGATACATTTATAATTATAAAAACTAGGGCTGCAACGATTAATCGATTAATTGACGACTAATCGATTATTAAAATAATAGTTGACTAATTTAATAATAAATTAATCATTTTCTTTTTCTTCTTTTTTTGTTCTTTACTTTGTTTTTTGAGTGGCATCAATTGCTGGGCCGGATGTCCGTGGCATATAGGCTATTTGTTTTGATTTGTCCAAAAGCCTCAGCAATGATTTAAGTCCCGATGAGTTCTTGAACGCTAGCTTTTTGTTGTTAGCATTTTTAGCAGACAGACTTTGTGCTGCGTTCAGGAGGTAACGAACATTACATGTTCTCCAAATGGGAGTAGTTGTTCTGATGTTTATTAAGGCTGTGTATTGGCAAGAATTTGGCGATACGATACATATCATAACAGAGGGGTCACGATACGATATATCCCGATATATTGCGATGCTGTAAGCAAGGCGATACAGT